ACACTGGTTTGTGTTTTACACAGTCGGTTTTGTTATAACAAAAGTAAAGTTGTTTGTGTACCTATGCACTGTGCCAATACATTCTTAATCTGAGCACTAGATTCACACTCCAGCCATTTTACTACTGAGGAAAGAACCATGACACCCACAAGAAAAAAGGCTGGATTAGTCTCAGAGTTGGTCTGGACATAACAGCAAAAAAATCTGTCCCTGTTGGAAATTGAATGCTGATTATCCAGCAGTCACTTTAACGACTTTGCTAACCTAATTTACACATGTAAGATAATTTCTAGAAATGTAATGAAATATACACATTTTAATGCGCAAGTAAAACTACTTCATATAAGTAACAGGGGCATTGTAACTGGAACTTCAACTAACATATTTTTTCACCAACTTTCAGAAATACCATGATTTTATGCAAATAGTTATAACACAAATGTTAAAGACATACTGATTTCATTTAAAACATGACTAAAGACATGATTTAGAAGGGAGTGCTCTTTATGGAGAAACCCAGCTATGAAATGACAGTTACACAATCACAGTATGGAGTTACCTGAGTTTTGTCAGTGAAGACTTCTGCAAGCAGTGGCCCAGGACTAAGAAATTCTGCAAAATGGTTCATAAGTTTCTGTGCTTCAACTGCCCTGGAGCGAGGTGTGTTAACACTCTCCAGCTGATCACCCAAGTGAATTACTTTAGTTGCCACATAATTAATTCTCTCATCCAACTCTTGAAACATGCTGACAGATGCCTGAGGAAAGATTATTAAAACCTGTAGCAGGAGGTGTAGGACCTAAAGATCACTGGAACTTGATTACACCTTCAGCATCATATGAGGAGCAGAACTTCACAAAGCATTATCTTGAAGTCATTCACAGAATCTTCAGTACAAATTATATAGCATCACATGACTTGCAACTACTTTCATAAATAGTCCCCATGAAGACTGATTTACTTATCAACAAGCAAACAAACTTAACATGTGTACTGCACAGTAAGAGTGTGGTCTATCATGATTTGTGATGTGGATCATGCATACATCAGCATGTACTGGGGGATAATTTTATCTATGAGTATACATTTGTGTAAATTGGAAATTTGTCTGAAACAAAAAATGTTCAGCATCTTTTGGACTCTGTTGTAACAATATTTTAATAGTGCAATTCTAATGTATTAAACTATAATACCAAAGCTAGCTTAATAATACAAAATTATGCAATCCATACTGCAAAGAAAATACCATACTTACCATTACAAAGATCAACTGCTTAATGTTGTTGAACGAAATAATTCCTGTCTAAAGTCAGAATTATATTAAACCCATAAATACAAAATGAAGAATTACTGACTGTTGAAGTAGGTGGGATATATAATTGGCATTGGGCTTAAAGGGTTAATAAAATAATGATAAAGTATCTCCTGTGCTTAAGCACGTTGCCTGGGATGTGGAGGTAGAGGCCCAAATGTTTAAGCCAACCACATCGGCTCAGTCAGTCAATCCCCAACAAGTAGCAGGCTGCAGGAACCTTAATATAAGTCAATGTTCATTGGTTCCCTTCTCCTATTCTAGCATTCTTTGCTGTCCCCCTTCTTCCACCCTTCCCTTTCCAATATGTAATAATTTGTAGAAAGGATTGGGACCACAAATGTAACAACTGTTCCATTAACTGCCAGTCAACCAGGGTGGAAACAGTATCAGGGTCAAACACAGCTGCACATGCATTTCACAATTCCAGACCAGCAATTATCAAATGCAGTCACAGTGTTTCCAACCTGCTATTTTCATGAAACAAACATAACAGAATCAAAACAAACATTTCTTTCTGCATATCCTACACAAACTTGGCATCAAAATTATATTTTTACATTCAATGACAGAAATTCTTTATATATTCTGGAACATACACAAAACTGAGTATCACCATAACAATTGTTCTGTCCATGAACAAAGCTAATGCAGATTTTCTTCATGACTAATCATGCAGAACTGTTACACACCATACTACTAAATGAAAAGTGACTAACCACCTTCATACTCAGCTATTTCACCCCCAGTGAAATACCTTCTGAAACTCATTCAATGACTATTGCCTTGAATTAGCAGTGTTAAATGGAACAATTCCTGATGCTGCCAGGAATCAAATCTTAATTATTTAGCCCAAGGACTGACCTAACCCAGTTTCAATATATTTAAAGCAAATTTAAAACAAAATCAGCAGAAAAGTAAAGACATAGTGAGAGTTCTAGACATCAAAATAACCAAATATGCTACCTTATTCCTATCTTGCAGTTGTGAAATCTGTTGCCAATGTCCATTTTCTTCTTCTCGACACATGATCTCCAGGCGTTCACATTTCTTTTGCTGGCGTTCTTGTAAAAGCTGTAGGTCCCTTTTGAGAAATAATAACTCCTTCAGTCAATCATATATCTGTATAACAAGACTGGAAAGGTGTAATCTGCACCAAACATGTGTTCTTTGCAAATTCTAAATTCTGAAAGCTCCTAACTGAAATAGTTTTCAAAGAAAAACTATTAATATAAGATTGTATCAGTTACTTTAGTTTCTACTACACATATCATGTGGTCTTAATGTTTTTTTTAAGTTCTATAAATCAACAGAAATATGTCAGAAGGTACATTTGTTCTATAGTATACGATGGATTTGTATGCTTGGGGTCATAGGATCAAATCCTGATCAAGTCAAACATTTTTTAATTTCCTGCAGACACCATGTTGTCATTCTATATTATACAGATTTTACTACACAAAATTCTTTTTTTTCTAAAAGCCTACAACCATATATCATTGTATGATCCTAATGCAAGTGGCCCCAGTGATGATCCTTCCTATCACAAGTTTGTTCATCTGCCATATAGGTATTACTGACTGTAGGAAAATTGAAAGTACAATTCCACGGTAGACCCCCATAGCACATCATTCACATCATACGAGGGTGAGTCAAATGAAAACCGTAAAAAAAATTTAAATTTATTGAATGAAAGCGGTACACAACTATATCATTTTTCTACATAGTCTCCATTTCGTTCAATACAGGCCCTCCAGCGTTTACGAAGTGTATGTATTCCTCTAGAAAAAAATTCTTGTGGTTGTCTGAGCAACCACTCATGCACCGCCTGCTGTACCTCTTCATCAGAACGGAACTTCTTCCCTCCATCGCCTCTTTGAGTGGCCCAAACATGTGGTCATCACTTAGGGCTAGGTCTGCTGCAATAGACTCAGGGGTCACAACTCTGTGCGCCTGACCCGGGCGAGGAGCGTCTGCCACAGACATCACACCATTTCTGAATTTCCTATTCCACTCGTACACTTGCTGCTGTGACAAGCATGCATCACCATACTGAACCTTCATCCGTCGATGAACTTCAATCGGTTTCACACCTTCACTGATCAAAAACGAATTACAGAACGTTGTTCTTCTTTCGTGCATGTAACTAGTGGAGCAGCCATCTTCAAACTGGCACTGTGATGGCTTTATGTTTGTCTGCATTATATTGCCACCTATAGGATACTCTTTATAGCATTGGTAACATGTCTGCCAACTTATAGGACAATGGCACGATATTTCGAATTTTTTTATCTCAGTTTTACGGTTTTCATTTGACTCACCCTCGTATTTCATCCAAATCCATCCAGTGGTTCTTGAGTTTAATCATGCTAATAGCCCTACATGTGTCAATTTCATGCACATCATGCAAACAAAAGACTATTCACTCATACATGGCTCACTGTATACATGTATTTGTATACAGTGTAAGAGATTTTGTAATTTCACTTCTGCACACTTCTTGTATTGTTTGCATTCATATTTATAAAATTCTCTTATCCTATCTTTTGACAAACCATCATTTCCAAATGAACATGCAGAATGTTTAATCATACCTCAGTGTGACATACAAATACTTAGATGCTTACAATACACATGCCAAAATACAAATATCAGTCTCACTCACTTGATTGCCTGAAGAAATGTCTCATGAAGGAGAACAGGATCAAAATGTCCAGTACCCTCATTTCTACTATCTGCAACTGTTCTCCAAGCAAGGCGTTCTACAAATTCATCTGGATCAAATGGTTCCTGTTTAAAAAGCAAATACACAAAAATATGAGCTATAGAACAACTATTGAGTTGGTGCATCAGTTCGTGCCATTTTTTCGAATTTTAAAAACTTTTATTTTTTTCCAAACGAATTTGACAAATAAATCAATTATGTATTCTCTCTCATTGTTCACGATCTGTTCCCAAAGTTAGACCAGTTTTTTGATCCCACGCTTGAAGAAATCCGCTGGTTTGGCGGCAAAAAATTAATCCAGCCAATTTCAGAGCTGTGTCGTTGTGGAAGGAAATTCCGTTGAGATTGTTCTGGAGAGCGGAAATGGTGGTAATCAGATGGGGCAAGGTTCTGAGAGTAGGGCAGATGCGGAAGAACCTCCCAACCGAGCTCTTCGATGACGTCTTTGGTGAGCTTTGTGACGTGGGGTCTGGCGTTGTCATGCTGGAGAAGTGTGCGGCACCCATGAACAGAGTTTCTGGAGTCTTATCAGTAGACAGTACAAATGTTTCGGGCAGCCTCTGCAGCTTTGGAGCTTCGATCGAACTCTTAGAGAAGAAGATGTCGGAAATGTTCGTTTTTGTCAACGTGGCACTCCACAGTTTTTAACCTGAAAATTTTTGTCAATAATTCAAATCAAAAAAATTCAAACAGATTCATAGAGATGACGATGAGAGCCACCTCAGGCAAATCTTATCAGATCAAAACTCTGATTGGCTGAAAATGGCACGAACTTATGCATCAACCCAATAATATGGAGAGCATGAGCTTGATATCATCTAACCAACTATAACAGTGGAGTGTTTTGAGGTAAAATTTCAGAAAACAGATGGGTTGTCCTGACTGGGTTTTTCTGTGGTTTCCCTCAGCCTCTCCAGGCAAAGGATATTGCCATAAATTAGGCAACAATCACTTCCTTCCATATCATTTCCAATTCATTATCCATTAATCATCTTATCAATAGATGCTATACAGCCTGAGCTACTGACAGCATCATTAAATACATAAGTACATAAACATACAGACATTATCTAATGACATACTTCTTGCAAAAACAATATTTTATTTGTACTTACTAGAAGTAACACAAACAAAAATTAATTGCTTGGCACAGAATTCAGACTTATTTGAGAAATATGAACATATACAAAAACATTGTTTTAAATGTTGTTTGTTCACCTAAGAAGGCAGTAACTGGGCAGTTTAGGAAGTTATGCAATGAGGAATTTGAAGTACTTTCAGGATGCTCAAATCTTGGAGGCTGTATTAGACGAGGCATGTAGTCATGGTTGCAGGACTGCATATGGAATTTTGAGAAGAAAACTTTTTGGAAAATGGCAATTTGGAAGACCAGGAAGGAGATCAGAGTACACCATTTACATGGACAACAGGGAAGATTATGAAGAGGGTGAAATTGACTCACCTGTGTAATGGAAGGAACATCAGGTCTTGCTACCGCAGTATTCATACAACTACAGTCATTTGTTGGTAAGTAATACTGTGAAATGTTGTGGAAGAAGCAACTGGTCATCATATTGCAGAAAATACATTTAAGATATAAAAAATTATACAGTGTTATTTGGGAAATTTACACTATTAAAATACATGTTGGATGAGTGAGATCTTCCAGTATGATTTAAATTTCCCATGACTAGAGTCATCATGTTCTTCTAAACTTGCGGAAAATCTGAATCTGGGGATCATTCTGATTACTATTTTATGATTTCTTTTGGAGTTTAAACATGCTGTAATGCTCAAGAAAACTATAGGAATGGTTAAAATATTGTAGAATTGATCAGTACTGATCACTTAATACAATTACATTTATTATGGTCCCACACTGCAAGTAGACTACTTAGCCTCTGATAAGTCATAATTTTGGATAACATACATTTTAATCTGACAACCTGAAAGTGTTTCTCAACCAGTCATCTGCAGCAGTCTGGTATGTCATGAGATAAGTCTAATTGTACTGAGATATTATTTTTAACTGATATACATTTCAACATATTTAACTACAGTTCACAAAATGTGGTAATAAGAGTGAAATTGTGTCCTACCATGTTTTGACATCTCATCAGCCTATACTAATGTTTCTTTGTTGAATTGTTGTTGCCCCGATATTTTCCATATTATGTAACATTTACTGTATACTGTAATAAGCTCTTGCAGAACTGCAGTTTTTAATATTAACATTATACTTATCATTGCTGTTATTATTTATTACTAAAATGTTACCTGTCAAGATTTCTGTCTTCTGGGTTGATGCGCCGCGTAGTCTGGTCGATGCTAACCAACGTTTCAGAGGTCATACTGCCTCCGTCATCAGGGCCTGACGGAGGCAGTATGGCCTCTGAAACGTTGGTTAGCATCGACCAGACTACGCGGAGCAACAACCCAGAAGACAGAAATCTTCATACTCAACGCTGTGAAAACCTCAAATCTTACATGTTACCTGTCAATTTGTTCAATAAATTCTAATACATATTACAATATATATAAAATCATAATAAAGTAAAAATAACAGAAAACATTTACAATAATACTGAGCTACACTTTTGTATAGAAAGGGTTGTACCTGGTAAAACAATTCTGCTCACATTTGTCAGTGTAAATTTAATTTAACTTGCAATGGTAAACCAATTGTACTTGTTGCACAGAACCAATAACGTATCTGGCAATAGACCTATGTCAAACAATGGGTCCTCTGGCAGGTTTTGTAAGACATTTGATTACATTAAATAATTATGAGCACAGAACAAACTATTTTTAAGGGGTAATAAGAAGGGTAAACTTTAACTTGTGTGACAAGTTGGGTAAGTTAAATTAAATTTCTGCATTTGAAAAAGCATAAGCTAGATTGTGAGTAGTAGTCAGCTATTTGCATACTATTTTTGTTAATTCAATACTGAATTCTTGACATGTAGAAAAACAAGAGATCAAGTTTCATTAACAAAATTGTGTTTAATAGAAATTAAATCATCTGCCATGTCATCACAGGAATCCAAAGAAACTGTTGAGATGCTCACATAAGAGTCATAAGTCAATGGTCAGTAATAAAAATGACCTTCACCGACTCAATAAATTCATAACTTCACAGAAAATTAATTAATTACACTGCATGTTAAATGCCAACATCATTTTCTATGCATTATAAACAGTTGTAGTACGAGTAAAATCTAAGACACTTTACTTAACCTGTTCCAACTCTTTCATATACTGCATCATCATTTTATTGCGGTTGAATTTGGGTCTTCTCAGTATGAACTTAAAGGTATTTTTTAACTTTACAAACAACGATTTCTATGTTATTGGGTGTTATGAAGCAATACACTATCATATCCGTATCTACACGCAAATTAACACAACTGAAAACCTCAATTATATAATTTTATTAAAGACACAATTAAAAATTCTAGTAACGATATCAAACTCTCTGTTATTCACCAAACTTGCCAAATGTCTGTTTGTATTTAAATAAAAATATTAATGTCATATAAATAAGAAATTTTCACACATTACAACTCCAGTACTACTGCTATATTCTCCATATTTTTGCCCTTTGCATACACCAATATTCTAATGTTGGTCAAGCTGCTAGCCAGGACCATATGCCATCTCATATTCTGTTGTAGTAATAATAATTATGCATCTATGATACTACTTGAATGTCGAAGAATCGTACATTAGCAATCTTTACATCACATTGTCATTGAAGAGTGGTGGGAGTAAATAAGATACATCTAAATGCAGGCCGAAAATACAGCTCAAGACGTCACTTTCGACATTTTTTTTTACTAACGTTGTAGTAATTCCGCCGGAGACTTCTCTTCACGCATTATATATTTAAAGTTAAAAATGTTTTAACCAGAAGCTATAAGATAAATTTTAATTTTCCATGTTCCCAAATGTCAAGTACGTAACTGATGAATATTCCAAACCTAACCTCACTTTATATTTTTGAACACGCCGAAGCATTTACGGCATCATGTGTATTTATAATGTATATGTTCACTTGTTAATGATATATTGGCTTAAACTGTAACATAAATTGTCTATTCAAGCCCTACTCCCATGTTACATAATACTTGTGCAAATTTAACTATAAATGGTTCTCTGTTCTGTTATTTCATCACAGGTCATTTCATAACTATTTCATCAATTTAACACAATAATAGTGCATATAACTGCAATGCTGGATGTTCTTAAATCCCTAATATCACTAACCCACTCCCATAAGATAAATAAAAGAATTAATATTGTTGTCCACAGCTTGAAACGTTTCTTTTACAATGAATTTCAGTTTGAACTAGCTTATCCAACAAACACCCACAAAATAAGAGAGACAACAGCTTCCTTAAACAAACAGCAAACAATATTCCATATGTAAACAATGTTTTGTCATCTTTCACTCCAATATTGTGCAGTTGACATGATGATTGCTGTAGGTCAGCTTGTGACTGCAAATTCAGTCCATGTGGGCACAAAGAGGTATTTCAATTTCCCCGCACCAATCATTCTACCAATTTCCTGTAGCCATCCCTGCAGTATAATGGTGCTATAAAAGCAAAAAATACCTGAGATGGCTTACCATGGATTGAACAACTTGTTTGATTCCCCGCACTGGCAGCAATAGTTCTTTTTTGACAATACATATGGCCTGTCTGGGGACCACTTAAGGCCACAAACAGGAGCTGTAGAACATAAACTGAATGGCAAATAAATATGAATGCAAAGGAATATAAGAATAGCAGTAAGGATAAGTGAAGAAAGAGTCAAGAATATAAAATAATTTCATATTTACAAACACTTGCATGTCTTACATAAATATCATACAAAAAGTGACTAGAAGTTACAATGCTTTCCACATGTAAACTTTATGATTAACAGCTCAGATGACCCATATTTTAACTTTTATGGTATTTGTGTCATGTCACGAGGTCTGGTTCTCTGTTAAATTTAAAAAATTACAAACACCTCTCATGTGGTGCATATTGGATATAATTACAGCAGCTGATTCCACGCTGAAGGGGTGTGGTAAGTGTGTACAAGTACAGGGAGAGTACCTCAAGATGACTGCCTAATATGAAACAGGTGAGACAATTACTGAAAGCTATGATCAAAATTCCAGGCCATATGTGAACTACCCATGTACCTTCCAACAGGAATTTCAAGATGTCAGCAATTTATTTAAATCACTAAACAATTCTTCCACAGGCTTCTCTGTGTCATATTCTTTTGCTCTGAATTGCTGTCTATGACCATCCAAAGGTTTTGGCATGCCTGAGAGCTGACATGGCAGTGGTGATGTGAAGAAATAAGGGTGAACCAATGCCTGGAAACAAAAGACAGAAGTAAAATACACCAAGCAATCAGCACACACAATTTGTAATAAAGCTTAGCTGGTACACTACATCAACCACTCTTCTGGATTGACTCAGTTGGAAATTCTGTGCAAAAATGATCATATCACATATGCATTTGGTTAAACATTGATGTTGGAAGATGGCTGTCTTCTGACTCACTGCCATTAAAACCTCAAATCCTAAATACTGATGTTTCCAATAATGAGCACCGAAGAACATTATATATGGGTAACAGTGATTTTAACTAGTGACCATGATCATTGGGTACTATGAGGTTACCAGCACACTCTATGGCCCCAAAAGACAGAGAAAGGAAGGGTTCATAAGAGAAAGCTATAGAATGGAAATGGGAAAAGTAGTATGAATGAAAGGGTAGTTTAATTCACTGCTTGCCACATGGGATGACATTACCTAATGTATTTATTTTGCTTTGTATTTATTTATACACATTTCTGTAATGAATTTGTTATTTAAAAATGTTGTATAAACTTCTATGGTCGTATTTATTATTCAGAATGCACACAAATATTAAAATATAAAACACGTCTTTTCAATTTGAAGAGTTGTAAAGATAACAGCAGTTTACTCTATATATTTTTCCAATACTTGAAGGTAACAAACATACATATATACAAAGATGAAGAGTAATTCAGTGCTTTGTAAAATTAGAGCAACAGAAAAGAAAATTATGGGAGATGTGAATGCCTTCCACTTTGTCAATCATCATCAATTTACAAGTTATGGCAGTCACCAAAGCTCTCACCTTGGAATGATTCAAATCATTCCATCACCCAGTTAATGGCTACTTAGCTGCCCACAACAGTTCCTGAATACAGTCAGGTCTACATAATGAAATGGAAACAGTGACTTAAATCATCAGTACTTCAGATATCAAGTAACTGGTGATAATGGTGATTTTTTAGCAATAATGATTAACAGTGAGATATCAGATCATCATAATGGCGAGGATATTGATGTTGGTCTTCTGAGTTGTAACATCTTATTGACAAGAAGTCCAGCCATCCTTGGACTTACCATCACGAAAACTTCAAATTCTAAGTCCAATGATTAATGGTTCTAAAAATATATGGGATAAAAGGTAAGCCAGCAGCAGAGTACCTGAGCATAAATGCGTTACATATTAACTATAAAGAACCAGAGTCAAATCGAAGTTGTTAGACATCTATCATACCTGTTTAGCTTTTAACCTTCTGTCAGCATTATAAATCAAAAACTTCTTTGTAAGATCTATGGCTTCGGGTGTACAGTCTGGAAAAATACGATCCCAACCAACTCCCTGTGTTTCTGGAAATGTAATTTTGTTATAATCTGGCAACTCTGTCATTCCAGGCCATGTTTCTGCAGTAGGTGTTCCCAGTGTTCTTAAGACAATTGCTAGTTGTTCTATGTCAGTTTCTCCCTGCAAACAATAAACAGAATGCTGAACACTGAACAGTATGAGAATATTTACAAATTAGAAAGGGAAACATTGGTGAAACTAAATAATATATTAAGATCTCTGGAAAACGAATCTCAATATCAGATACAAACGTCTATCAGTCCCTGTCCTGAGCTACCTGATCACACACTACTTCAAAGGATTCATTCTCATATTTTTCATCCATCTCTACACTGTTCTTTCATGAGATCTCCCTCCTAAAATCTTCTGTATATTTTTTGTTTCTTCTATTCAAGTTACATGCCTAACCTACAATAATGTGTTTCTTTTAACTGCACTATTAGTACTTAGTATGCTGTATAAATTAAACTTGTGCCTCTTTATGTATTTCCTCCCTACTTCTCAGAACTAAATGTAATCCTTGCAACTTAATTTTCAAATAATCTCACACATACTAAAAATGACAGAATAATGTTTCACATGTCACTATTTCATGTAGTTTTCAGAACAAATGTGTAGTAAAATATTTTGCAACTCTGTCATACTTCTAAGACACTGACCCATGTTTAACAAAATGTAATTAAATAATGGGTAACCTACAAACATTAATAAAATGAAGCTTACTGGGAACAGTGGAGAATTAGTCAACAGTTCCCCTAGGATGCAGCCAACAGCCCAGAGGTCAACAGCTTCTGTATAATATCGGGCTCCATATAACAATTCTGGTGCACGATACCATCTGGTAGCTACCTGATGAGAGTATGGACGGCTGTGTTCTGTCCAAAACATTCGGCCAAGACCCAAATCTGCTATCTTCAGTACTCCTTCCTTGCTTATCAGTAAATTTGCTGGTTTCAAATCCTGTATCAATAAAACAGTCACTGTTATTTTCCATGCTTTATAAAAACAAAACCTGCTAAATATACCAAACTGAAATATATGAGAAAGGAAGCCCTGAAAGTCCATACAGATAACAGACACATCAACAACAAAAAATACCAGATTATTATGTTAAAAAAATGTTCAATGAAAATTAAATACTTCCTAAAACAGCAGAAGTAATTAAAAACATCAGTTATCTTGGTAACTTAAAGTTGTGTCCTGAAAGTAAACAGCTACTGCTAAGCACAACAACTTTTTATTTCTGACTTCTAAAGCTTACAGCTGTAATGTTACACTCTACAGAACCTTCTAGTTCTTTTTGTATCTCAGTTCTTGTTAAAAGAATATCTCACCCTGTGCATAATGGAGTGATCGTGAAGATATGCCACACCTTTCAGCAGCATAATCATGTAAGTCTTCACTTGAGGAATTGAGAGTGGATTCTCAGCATCTCGTAGCATCTCCCATAGTCCTGATGGCATGAATTCAAACACAAGGACAAAACCAAGCCCCTGGGGGAAAACATCCAACAACTGTACCACCTGGAAAATAGCAGTGTATTCAGTGCCGAGAAATCTGGTATTTACAATAAAAGCATGTCAATAAATACATCTCAGATATACAGTGGATCATAAATTAGGAACCATAGTAATATAATGTGTATACATCCCGTTGGAAATAAAACCTCAGTCATGCAGTTTATACTTTATCAACTGAAATGTCCTGGCCTAGTGGAACCTTTGCTACAGGAAAAACAAATACAGCAAAGCTGACTGTTCACTAAGAATTAAGAATGGTTATTCAGTTACTCTGTGAGGCTGTATCAACTGTTGAGGTTATGCTATGGTGAATGAGATACAGCAGCATGATTATAAATGATGAAATAAGAATGAGAGGAGGTGATCTTGGCCTACTTTAAGGATCATACCTGGTGGGTCTGACAAAGATAACATAACCCTCAGTCAAAACAGCTTGTCCATGCTAGAATATGAACTAGGTTATCATCTAAATATGAGTTGCACATGTTAACAATGTTCTACCCAACTCAGTAATTAACGGTCAATTATAAAGGGAAAACATGCGAATCATCACAGAAAAGTAGTGGTAAATTCTGCTTGCTGTTCAGTGTTCATGAAACAGAGCAATATAATGGTAGAAACAGATCAATTACAAGGTTAGTTTTAATCCTTACATATTGACAATCGACTTCTTGTAATGCCTTTATCTCTCTGATCACTGCAGTAGGTATTCCATCTTCCAGCTTTTTTAAGAGCACTTTCTTCAGCGCAACTTCCCGCCCAGTGCCAAGGTGTTGTCCTCTGAGAACCAATCCATGAGCACCTTCTCCAATTTTACCAACAACCTTGTACTGATCCATAGGGGACTACCATATCTGCAACACAAAGTCTAACATATCAGAAAACTGACCACTTGCATAACTTATCTTGATTGTGTTTGGGCTATTAAAAAGGTAAAGTCAAAGTACAGTTGTCCTTGGTGTTTAACTAAGCACATCATCATACAGACATATATGAGGTAGTGGATGTATAGTTTCATGCATTTTTCATCATCATCTAGCTGTCAAGAATTTTGAGCCTTGTGACCCATTCCGGCCTGTCATCCAGGAATCTTTTTAAAGGGCGTCCTTTGTTTCTTTTTCCTATTGGTTTATGTTTCAAAATTTGATGTGGAAATCTGTTATTGTCCATTCTTCGTACGTAATATTAAATTTCATGGCAGGAGGGCTTGAAGGGCCATAATCACCTTGTGTACAATAAAGTAAACTACGCAATCACGATACTTAATTCTTGGAAGCAAAATGATGTGGAATACCTAAAACCTTCACACAACATTCAATTGGAATAGACATAAGTATTACAGACCCAAGGATACAAGATTACATGGTCATAGTTCGGCATGACTACTACTACTACTACCAAAATAATGATCCTGACGTAGGTTTTGAAGTTTTATGTTATGTTCCTGATCACAACGACATGGAACATCAGGTTCCGGATGGTGAAGGCTATTGAAAATTAAGTAAAATAGGCTACAGGCTTACACTTTATGTCGAATTCCTGTTTATAAACGAAACTGACATAAATTATGTTAGCAATATCTACTTCTATCCTTACACTGAAAGCATGTGGGAATAAAGGTAATTTTCTTTCTGTCTGTTTGCTACCATGAAACCGGGGTAAAGAAAAAAGAAAAAAAGAATCTATGTACAAAACCGCGGGAAATGGAAGTGGCTGAGTATTTGAAGAGGAGGATATCCACAACTTTTAAACTCCATGGGTTCTCTTTACGAAGGTTGTGATTAATTTTCATAAAACACTCCGTAAATTTCTTTGTTGTATGTCCTTACGCTATTAATAATTTCAGAAAAATGTGTAAATATGGTATGTATAGGTTAAAGAGGTTTCCTCTTAATATGCATACACAATTTAGGCGTGTGATAAGAGAGCACTTGAAAATATGATGTTGAAGGGAGGATAACAAGTCACTGTGTCTTATTGTTTCATGGTAGACTTTTTTAATAACAGTTTTCTTATATCACTCTTATTTTAGTGATGCTTGCAACCTGCTGGTTAATCAGCTGTTGCCACTTGAGGAATCAGAATATGATGAATGGCTTGAGAAGCTGACAGAACACATCCAGAAACAATCTCTTATAAATGCAGTAGTGGAGAAACACCACATTGAATCAGCAATTCAGGTAATGTCACTTTCTCTATTGCTAGTAGGTATGGTATAGTATTTAGCTTGGTGATACTTTTTGTATTATATTTTTGTTATATGTTTGCAGGATTGCATTAGAAGTGGCTTGGATGAAACTGAAACAATTTTTAATGTTATTAGTGCATTTGAAGTGCCTTATTTTAAATATCATTCTGAGAGAAAAAAATTTTTGAAGGTAGATATTGGCAGTAACCATGCTGCAACACCACATCTCTTTGACTTGCCATCAGCAAAAGCCAACCTCTTCAGGGACAGGTAAATAAGTGAAATTTTTTATGTGACTGCATTAGAATGATTAAAACTGCACTAAATTGTTACCAGAGAAGAGAAAGATAAATGTCTGACAAAACATGTTATATTCTGAGCGCTCATGTTTTAGGAATTCCATTTGTATGTGTTATTTCAGAATAAGAAATTTCTCATTTAAGCTATTGAAATAAACAGTGCCAGTAATGTTATATTTTAATGTTTGCCATTCTTATACAACAGATAAGTAAATTAGGCCAACATTTGTTCAGTCCAGAAGTTATACTTGAAATGTAGGTAGTATTTGATGTACATTGGATGCAAACAGCAACATGCATCAAAAGACCATAAACAGAAAAGTCACTTAATCCTCAGCTCCACTAATGCTTAGTAGGCTATAATGTTATATGAGACAGCAACAATATTAAATGAAACTTACTCCACTGTTAGTTAAGAACGGTAAGGTGAAACAACAAAAATAGGAGACTTTCTCAAGTATTATATTTGAAAATATCAGAACTGACAACAGGAATAAATATGCTGTTGATTATGTAAACAGCAAGTGAAAAGAACCCATATTGATTGGAAAAATACAACAGTAGAACAGCTGAGAAAGCAGGATGACTTATAAAATGAAGTTCGCTAATCACTGACAGAAGTGCTTAAGTCCAGAGAGTTGGAACAGCTTTTAATCTAAAGGAACAAAATGTTTGGAGGGCTTGTCTCTGGCTTTTCTGTCAGTCTGCTGTCATGTCACATCTGCCTGTTTCAGTGAAATCATGTCCTCACTTATAATTCTTGACATGACCAGAAATGTTTGTGAATATGTTTGTTTATTTTAAATCAGGTATGCTATTATCTATCAGCGTACCCAACGACATGAACTGTTTACTCCAGCCATAATGGGTACAGATTCGGATGATGCTGACCACAAATTCAAGCTGCAACCTATAGAATTCCTTCTGAGTTCTTCAGGAAAAGTGACGGAAGCAATCGTTCTAGGCCTCCTTACACAGCTGCGTGAGGGATGCTATTATCTAGAGGACCCTACAGGGATTGTGCAATTAGACCTGTCAGAAGCAATATCCTTTATTATACAATGAGTGTGATAGCTCAGTGGTATCTTGAAACCCATCACAACTGGACAGTATCCTCAGCCAGCGTCCCACAGTTCATATAACCGCTAATACTTTTTCTTGCTATCCTCAGTTTACACCTTGGTATTCTAACTTGTCTATTCCATATCAAAATTTCTTCATTTGTGTTACATACCCATTTTATCGTGACTATAAGATGTCATGTGAAAATAAATATCTTAAATTCATGACTTTCTCTGGTGGTCTTCCAAAGATGCTCAAACAAATATCACAATAATACCCACAGGTTGGCAATAACCACCTTCTCCCAGATTCATAATTCTATTCATGACCATATTCCCACTTGAATCATTTTCAATTCAGCAGAAAGAAAAGAGGCTAAATATCCTTAACTAAACCTCCACATATATCACACAGGCCTTCACACAGAAAATTGTTTTGTACTGGCTGAAGGATGTTATGAAGATAAACTGTTTTATGTTTCTGGTATGGGGTTCCCTCCACCAGAACCCTCAGATACTAGTCGGTATGTATCATATTTATTTACAGCCATAACTTTTAATAATGTCATGAATCTTACCATTTCACATAACATAATTGCTTAGGGTATGTTCATAGAGGTATTTGCATGAAAAATATTAATAGCATAAACTTGTTTCTATTTGGTCATTGTCTGAAATCTTATCTTGAATTGATGGTAAATGTTAGCATGTCTATCCAGTACTGAATGCTCTACCACTGGATACATGCATTTATTAATCAAGGAAAATAAACTGATTTGATTTTGCTATTTGACACATTTCTTGACAAAGCTGAGTTATATTAATTGACACTGCACTATATTCATTTCAGCATGCTTATATAACTTTATTTCATTGTTAATGTGTCTCATCACTTGCTGATCCCATGGTGTCTTGATTTTATTTCCAGAGCATATTTTGGAAATGTGAACACTTTTGGAGGTCCTTCAAAAGTTAGTCTGAAAACTTCTGCAGAACTGTCACGATATGAACTTGAGAATGATGACAGTGTGCTGGTGTTTCTAGCAGATGTGTGGCTGGACAGTGTTAAGGTGTGTAACCAATCTTATTTTCAACCAAAAATGACTAGTTGGAATAAGTGACAGTGGACAACCATTATGATGGATTTGTGTAAGAGCAACACATGTACATGATCTAGTAGTCTTTATCTTTAACTTGCCAAATTTTTCACATACACACATAATGAAACAATGGGTAGGTCGTCTTAAGATTCTGAAGGAAACCATACATTTTATTGGTTATTCTGCTGTTAATTTCACAGTGAATGAATTAAGTTATTTGTATAGATGTAAGCTTGTTTGATGAAAATGCTGAAAGTGACATTTCCTTACAGGTAATGGAAAAGCTTCGAGTACTCTTTGCAGGTTATGCTGATTGTCCACCAGTTGCTTTTGTGTTTATGGGCAACTTTTTATCATCACAACAAGGCAGCTCACATGCAGCCACCCTGAAAACAAGATTTAAAGCCCTGGGTGACCTCATTGCTCAGTTCTCAGAATTGGCTAAGAAAAGCAAGTTCATATTCATGCCAGGACCTTCTGACCCTGCATCCCCCAACATATTACCCAGGTGAATACACTAACATCATTATAAATAATATAATAAACAACTGTAATGGGGCACATACTTATGAGGTACTAACTAGATGGCTTACGGAACCCAAAGGTTCATCACCAAATTAACCAAAGCCCTCCACCGGACCCTGCTCTGGGCACTTACGAGATACACTTCTTTTATATGGATAAGCAGGAGACAAACTTTTTCTTTGGCAATGAACCTAAATTTCAAATCCACAATCCTGATACTTCAGTGCAGTTTATTTTCATCCCAGTAATTCCAGTACAAGGAGTAAATCAAACATCTTTCTGTTGGACACCCCTGGCATATTTTTTTTCCCTTTCAAGATGACTGTCTTCTGGGATGTTGTGGCATGTAATCTTGTAGAAATTTACCAATATTTCATATGTGCTAGTTTTCTCCATCTTCAGGGCATTGTGTAAGCCGCTCATGGCTTCTACCAAACTACATATATATATATATATATAGATATAACATACTGAACTTGAACTGTCATTGAATATGTAATTTACATGCCATTTAATATACACAATTCTTCACAGGATGCCCTTACCTAAAATAATCACAGAAGAGTTCCAGCGAAAAGTTCCATCATCCATTTTTACTTCAAATCCTTGCCGCATTCAGTATTGCACACAAGAGATTGTAGTCATAAGGGAAGATCTTGTTACAAAGATGTGTCGCAACACAATCCACTTCCCCACTTCAGGAGAAATTCCAGAGCATGTAAGTATCAAAAGTCCTGGCATGGTATATATGACTTAACTGTACAAAGGAACACTTATACAAGAAGTCCATTTGCTTGCTGATTTTACATACAAAGGTCTTACTTCCAGTTTGCGAAGACAGTCTTATGCCAAGCTCATCTGGCACCACTGCCAATTTCTGTGTGTCCAGTATATTGGTCATTTGACAGAGCACTGCATCTTTATCCTCTTCCTGACCTTGTTGTCATAGCAGACCAAAGCAGTGCATTCACCACCACTTATATGGACTGCCATGTCATGAACCCAGTAAGTATCCTGTAGCTGCTGCTTTGGATATGAATTCTAGTACATAATGTTTGACTTTCAAACACGTTAAATAAAATAAAAGTCAGAATCTATGTGCTGATGTACTTTTCTTTTACAGGGCTCCTTCCCAAAGAACGACTTTTCTTTTAAAATTTATATACCTGCTGCACGGCGAATAGAAGACAGTCAGATTCCAAATGACTAACATAAAAATCTCATTTTCTGTATCTGTTAAGATGTCTATTCCAATGCAACCGTTATGAAGTCTTAAGGAATTTATTTTCATACCATAATTCCCTAAGGGCAATGCATCAAGCATTAAACAATCTTCAGAATAATCCATTTTCTTTTTTATGTAAATAAAATGAAACAGTTCAATATAATCTGTTTTGTTTCTGGAAAAAGGAAGGCATACCTGATCAGTGACAGAACCATCAATATCTACCATAAAATGCTAGAGGTAGTATCATGAGAGTGTGATGGATGGAAAGAATGTACATGGGTGGGTGCATAAATTCCAGGAAGGATGAGAATCATGTGACACAGAAATGTCTATGAAGGATACAATGCATATGTTTTGAAAGCAACACTGCCCATGTTGAAGCTCAGGTCATGGAGAAAATATGAATAACAATGGTCAAATGAACACTATTAAATCAAGATATTTCCAGGTCATGCATACAGTTTTGCAATAAGACCTCAGAATGAGTATGAAGATGGTTGTCTTCTGGGTTGTAGCACCACATAGTCTGGTAGAAGTTTACCAATGTTTCATAGGTTCTTGCTGCCTCTATTATCAGGGAAAATATAACAGAGACAGCAACTTCTACCAGACTACATGGTACTACAACCCAGAAGACTTCTGACTGAAAACCTGTACTGCAAAATTCAACTTCCTTATTTAGAAATGGTGCAGCTGTATATGTTCCTAGGAATTTATATTAGCATACCAGTTCTAAGGTAAATGTCACAATGGTTCACAAAGTAAAACATTTCCCTTTCGTTGTTTCCAATGTGCACCAGAATATAACAGGATATGAAATACACTGGACCTGAGGAAAGAAGTTAACGATCTTCACCCACTGAACTACACTACACTTTAATCACATGTAACTTACATGACAGAAATAATTAAACAGGAAAACAACTGTCTTTATTCCAAAAAGAAGAGAGAAAGATGTTATTTATTAGAAAGTACATGTGGAACATAGCTCTGAATACTCAGACTTGCCGAGTCTATTTTCCGAGTATGTCTTAAAATTAGTGTAATATGAATTCACACTAAAACACTTATTAGGCTGAAAACTACTTGCCCATGGCATTCAACATTCTGGACCACTACATTATATAAGTGAATACTGGTGCCAGATTGTTACAAGATACACAGTAAAAAGAATTATTCAAATAAAGTTGGTTCTAAGCACTGTAGACACTGGTTTATATATTATTTACACTTAACCCAGTTATCTGCAGTACTTCAAAGATTATTTCAAATCCTGATGGCAATGCATTAACTGAAGCCCACCAGTTAAATAGCTCTAACCACCAGTCACACTTAATTCTTTTTGTAGTGAAATTGTCATGATCAGGGCGTTCTAAAGGTGTCTGGTCTAAAATATGTAAGGAAAACTTGTACATTGTGCATTCCAAAATATGTTTAGTACACTACAGGCAGGATGAAGTCCTTATTGTATATTTTTTAAACTCAGAATTACTCCTACAGTAAAAAATTCTTAAGGAAAAGCAAAACTTGGGAACTGATTACACAATATTTAATAAATGTAAATAACTGCAAGCACATGCCAATTAATATAGACTTACACAAAATTAAGGTGTATATGTTTAGTCAACTTAATACAGACACTTTATAAAGGCTCAGTTTGTTATTATGCTACTTTCTTTCTGGAACTAAATATATTGCCTCAAAATGTGCCATAATTTGAGGGTTTTTTGTCTCAAGAATAAAGCATAACCAAGATATTTTATTCAGTTTCTCTTGTTCAAAGACAATTTTTCATAAGCATTTTCCTCATGGAGAAAGCTAGGTTGAGAAAGTGTACAATCATACACTTGATTATCACCATTATAACCAACTTAAAAAAAACCCACCATTTTATAGCAGTAATTAAATGTTTGCAGCATGAAACAAGTGACAAGCAAACAATATGCACAGGACAACACATGAACATAAGGAAATTTGGATTCCTATTTAATTTTCTTATGTGTATTATATATCCTAGATTTCAGTATTTAAGCCTCTCTTGCACAAATAACAAGATGCCACTGTCAACAAAAAGGCGATTTGCAGTTTCAAGATCAATTAAGATTATTATCCTCACCTACTCATCATTTGTCAGTAATACTGTAATATTATAGCATTTGTATGAAAGGGCAAACTTTGGAATCTATTAAATGGAAGTTCATCATATCAAGGTCACATCTATAAATGAACTGTACTACACCTATCAAGGTTCAGCATTGTTCTTGTTGTAAGGAAATGCATTAATAACTTTCTGACTTGATGTCTGGAAGCAAATACCTTGTATACCCTCACCATATGACATTTTTCTAAAAATGTTATACAGGCTGAAAATATGCAATGATATGGGAAACACATGAAGTCTCTTGGTAGGTGTAAAACTACAGGAAATACACAAGTTACAAAAATGTAGAGAGAGTTTGAAGAGTATGATCTTTTACTCTACATTTCACCAATAACAGCTTTTATGATGTCTGTTAGTCATATGAAGTATAGGAGAAATGACATTAAAGACTACATGAGGAGAGTGGACATAAATTCAAGGGCAACACTTAAGTGAAGATACAGAAGACATCCCACCTTTGTGGCTGATGTGAAATCACATGAGTCAACCCACTGATATAATTTTTTTTGAAAGTGTCTTTTGATACAAAAGTTTCAGTACATGTTATAAGAAAACTGGAAAGTAAAAAATGAATGAGGCAACTAGAGTTGAATTGGAAGTTTACAGGAAATGTAATAAGGATGAAGATGCGTTTGACATATTACAAGAATGGACATAATTAGAAGAGCATTGACATTACATGATCTAGGCCAAGTTGATTTACCAAAGTGATTTGATACTGAGCTACTGATAGAATTGTTAAATAAACAATAAATGAATATCAAAGTAATTAATTTTATTAAAGTAAAGGCTGAGAAGAAAAAATTTAGGATGAAAGACTTCTGGACACTTTTTCTCCATCAACCCCAACTCCACACAAAAATATCGGAGGAGAGGTCAAATCTAATGGAAGAAAACTGTCTGCAGAAAATATCTAAGAACATTATGTTTTGCAAAAGTATATAACAGTATCTGTTACAAATACACAACATATTGAAAGTCAAATTCTGCTCTTTTAATTTCTCACATGTTTAAGAAAACACTTGGGTCTTTTACTGTTGTTACCTCTGGCAAGCAAAAGGTTTGAAATACCAAAAAGACACATTCTGGCTTACATGAAAATGAGTGAGTGAATTTTAGAGATGCTGTAAGTTTGGATGTTTTGTTCACTGTGATATGCAGACTAAAGGTGAAGTATGTTTCTCCTCAATCCTACCACAACATGTATAGTGAGCAGCTCAGACTGCATAATTTGAAACCATATAACTCATTGCTTTCACACAAATCAGTACCTTTAAAATAAACATTTTTTTTAAACAAGCTACAAAATATTGGTATATTGTCAACAACAATAAATATTTCACAAGCTTTTAAAATGAAATCTTCAAACAACATAACAAAATGTTCTGTATTTTCATTTTCTCCAAAACATACACTAATTAAATTAAACAACTGGAGAAGCTTTCCTGCAATATTCCATGTTACACATGACTTAATGAAAACTGGATTATAATGAGTAATGCAATACATACACAGATTAAAAAAAAAATCACGGTATTTTGTTATTATTTTCAGTGCAAATGGAACACCTACTTTATAGTATTCCAAAATAATAGCTTAAATTCAGTCATACCTTACAACCTCACCACCAAGAAGAAGAAAACCGTGGTAATTGTGATTCACTGGGGATGAAAATGTCACACTGCAACAGCACCAGACTGAGCAACAATTATAACATCACAAGTTCTGTCTAACCAACAATCATGCTTAAACTGAGAAGCTGTAATAATAAACAAATACAGAATGTATCATAATTTACATTAATACATACAAATACACAGGAATTATGTACAGTACAGGAGGACCTTCACAAAGGTCAGTCTGACTTCTGGTTCACGCCACCTGAAACAAGAAAACTCCCAACTTGTAATTTTACACCTAAAAAATGTGCTTCTTTGTGATCAATTTAGTATTCTATGACATTTTATCTCATAAAAATATTCAGTTTCTCAACCTCAGAGAGTGATACATTTTACAGTAAAAATACAGTGCTTGTATAGGACAAGCGTGTGCTTTGTAATTTCCAATTACTGATCATGCAGGCCAATTATTCAAATGTTAAGACTAACAACTGATTTTCTGGAATATATTCTGCATCTGTTGAAGATGGAGGTTCTTATTCCAGCTCCCGCCGACTGTGAAGTGCGGTCAGTGATAACGCTAGGCCGCACACGGTTCGACGGACAGCAAGTCTCCTGCAGGAGTTCCGCTGGGAGGTGTTTAATCATTCACCCTACAGCCCGGATCTCGCTCCCAGTGATTTCCATCTTTTCCTACACCTCAAGAAATTCCTGTCCGGTCAGTGTCAGCGTTTTGAGAATGACAGAGAGGCGGAGATGGTTGTCACACAGTGGTTCCAATCCCAGGCGGCCGACTTCTACGACACAGGTATTCAAAAGTTGGTCCCACGGTATGACAAATGTCTCGATTCCGGTGGCGAATATGTTGAAAAATAGCTGGACACTTGCTGTATCTGTTGCAATAAATATTTCCATGAAATTGTGTTTTGTTTCTGTAAACGGCCCCAGGGTAACTTACTTTGTGGACGATCCTCGTAATATATGCAGGAGGATATATGCTCACATACACAGTGTCAACACAATGAATAAAAATCAGCTTCATAAACCAATTGCCAACCTCTCATGCTTTCAGAAGAGTGCATATTATGCAGGAATCAAAATTTTCAACAGTCTACCATCAAATCTCACAAGTCTTGTAAATAAAAAAGCACAATTTAAACTAGCATTGAAAAGATACTTAATTACACACTCCTTTTACTCTGTCAATGAATTTATGTTGTTTACAAATAAATGATAAATTTTTCTTGTGTGTAATGGGTAGATCTATTTGTAGCTTATCATTTCTCTAGGTGAATACTTTGTTTTGGATTATGTGAAATTTATATAATAGTTTGAATTGTACTTTATAATATGTATTGTATTATTATTATTTTTATACTTTAATAAATATATTGAATGGAATTATTATGACTTTTTCCACACCCTATTGTCATTGAAGACAGAGACACCACTGCCATGAGAACTTCAATTTTTAGAAACAAAGTTTTTAGACTCCGGATGTTACTTACATTCTTGTTTGTGTCGCCTGCAAGCTTCCTCCCTCTCTGTGGCATCAAAGTACCACAAGGTAATAGCATACCTGAAAACAATTATTACAGTTTAAACTGAACCTGATAAGTAGTAAGAATGAGTGACTGAACTTCGCTGGCTATTCCTAACTCTCAACACAGTTCTACTGACAATAAAAATTTGCTCAAAAAAGAAAGAAAAAACTTCACAGGCTATAATAAAAACTACACGAATATTCAAATCTTGAAGTACATTAACAGTGCTACAGTTCAATTAATTATTATACTATTAATTACATGGGCACCCAGAATCTAGATGTTTATGCTGTCAGAGTATTTCTGTCTTATTCATGCAAAGTTTCTCCTTAATATGTAACAACACAGACACTAGAACAATAGAAAATTCAACAATACCAACAAATTTGATTGTATTCTTAATTATGACCATGAAACTAGTTTCTTGCAGGTATTTTTTGTTTGTTTCCCAATAGGCATCTTATATCATCATGGCAGTATTTTCTTTATCCATCATGTGAATAATAATACAGTAGATTCTGGTTAATTGGGCCATCGGTTAATCGGGGCAGCCGTTTATTTGGGACAGACCTTAAAGAACAAACCTTTTTAACAATTTACGTGGAACTTCACATAATTGGGCCAAAGCGTTCTAGTCCCAGAATCCACTGTATACATGATTTTTGAGGATGGCTCAGTCTTAGGTACAAAATTTTCCCACTCTGTGGAGAACATTAGATAAGGTTACTCCTTGTCACATACCTTCAGAACTACAAAAATTCTTATGATGAATGTTGGGTAAAATAATTTAAAATGGACCCACATTTGGTTTCAGTTAGGTACGTCAAGTTCGTATGTTCCATAATGCCAAATGAAATTCAACTAAACATTGCTTGTATGATAAAAAGTGACACACTTACAATTATCAGAATATTTTGAAGCATGCAGCACGATACCCGCACTCCTAAAACACAGTAATTTTACAAATGTTAGATGAAGAACATGAACATATGTACATACCTCGTCTGATGTGCTGGCTGAACTTCATGTGGGTTCCTTCGATCAGACCAAAAGAACAGAATGCGATCAAATAGTGGCTCAATGTCTGCGACCTTGTCACTCCAGCCTTCAGGGAATATTCGTAACAAGCCACCATGCTCCTGTAACATGGCCACCATACACTAGGTAAACCGTTGTAAAAACTTCACAAACATTTCTCTTTATTTTTGTGTGCTTATTTAAAGATGCTGTCAGCAGTTCAGACTATATAGCATCAAATGATAGGATAATTAATAAATAATGAATTAGAAAGGATGTGGAAGAAAGTAACCAAAGTATATTAAAGGTATTATTTAGATTAGAGTTTACAAACATGGACCAAAAATTCTGATCTCTTTCGCCCTACCATCAAAAGGAAATTACTTAAAATTCAAGGCAATATAAAATTACATATAGACACATTTCAAAACAAAATATATGTGCTGTGTATACTCACCTGCCATGTGTTTAGTTTACAAATGTATTTTGAGTGCTTGCTAAAACTTCAACAAACATAATTTTGAATCAAATAGGAAAATGCTAACAAACAAATGCATTCTTACACATATTTCATGACTTCCAGAATTATATTAATGACATAATTTACTCTGAAGATATGCAAATAAGATAAAAATCCCTGTCCTGTCTTGCTTTTGGTTAATACCTGAATTATTACTTGCAAATGTTCATTTTTCCAAGTCAGAATGTGTTAACCCATTTCTTTAAAAGCTCCAGCATATCTGTGGTTGGATTAATTCATTTTTACATCAGAAAAATGCCAACATTCATGCAAATAGAAATGAATTATATGAAAGCTTTATAAAATCATAAGTTTCATGGTGACAACATTCAATGAAGTCATTTCTGGAGATAAGTTCACCCCTCTTGATGGAAGCAGCCAGCCTCTGGAATGTTAGATTTTTATGCTCTATCAAAATGGATGATCACCCAGAAAGAACTAATTACACTAAAGCATTCTCTTACTCTGACATTCCAATTTTTGTTGAGGTAGTATATGGCCGTGATACAACGACCATCTCTATTTGGGTTGTCCACGTGCTTCACATAATGAGAGCCGGAACCAGGATAACACGCCACCATAGCCTGCAACAAAGTAATATGAAATTTTGCACTGATGTCGATATCATATTACCCTAACAGGATAACTTCCAATTGCAGTCACGATATCTGTGTCTGTATATGGCATAACCCTCATGTTGTGGCACCATGACACATATCAGAGACATAATTATGGAAATAACTTTCAGTGTCAGTTATCACATTTTAAATTTTAGTATTAATTTCTCAACAGACAACAGTAATTTTTCCCAAAAGAATTTTTTTGCGAGGGGGGATATATATCTAATTGTATTGCATGACTAATTTTGATAATTTTCTTATTTACATTTTGGTCAGCAACAATATACATTCACAAGACTGCCATAAGCAATAACAGCACAGTTTATTTTTAAAGAAGTCCAGATTAGCTTTAAACATGTTCATCACAGTCTGTTATATAAAATAACACAACAGAAGATGTGTTTTGTATGAAAGCAGTTCTTGATTTCAAATAGTTTTGCACCAAGAAGCACTTGAAGGTCCACAGAAAAGCAGTACATTCCACAAACAGCCCCAAATCCATTTTTATTACTGACATCCAATAAATAATTTGGACATTTGGACTCAAGAACATGAGAAATATATGACAAGGCTAAAGCAATAAAGACAGTTCTGAAGGGAAACTGGAGACGTCACAGCAGTCCACAAAGTTGTTCATAAAATGTACTACAGACCTGGTGGAACAGGATTAGTAATATAAAGGAAAATTGTGTTACATTTATTACATAATATTAAGTTATACACACAAACCAACTCTTAAAAAATTCTTCACTAATTAAAACTGCTATTAAAATAGTAAATATCAAAAGTCCTCATTTATTTAGATTTCTTTCCCTGTGAAACTAAATTAAAATCAGATCTAGACTAAATCTATACCACAAATGACAATCATGCTATTACCGGCACACTACTGACTGCAAAAAGGATTTGAGAAATAGTTTTGTTCCAGTTTAT